CCTCTTTGCCCCGCCCGCCAGGATGAGGCGTGGCAGGAGGAGACGGAGGTTCCGCAATAGAGAGAGCGGAAGTAGACCCGGATTCTCTTGCAGGCGAGGAGGTGAGCGGCGGCGTTGTTGTTGACGAGGCGGGCTGGGGGTGGGAGGGGGCTGCTGGATCTCTGTGGGAGCTTCCCCCGACCCCCTCCATCTCCCCTTAGCCCAGCACCGGCTTTCCCCTGCGCGTCTGGGGTTCAGAGAGAGACTGCCTCGGCACATGGAGGCTCTACGGCGCTTCCCATCGGGAGGGCGGGTCAGAAGCCCGCGGCGTTCTTGATTCCGTCCTGCGGTCTCCGTTCCCAGGAGGAAGAGTCTTGGACGCTCGTCCCCACCGCCAGCCAGAAAGCGAGAAGTCGTTTATCCTCTTTCATGCCCCTAACCTGAAAGCTGCCATTCCCAAATTGGGGAGGCGATGGGAGTGTAGACTGAAAACAATGTGGAGTCCTTGGGGTTCTCTGAGCTTGGCTGTTTTCTTGCAAATGTTTCCTTACCTATTACCTTACTTTATTATTATTGTTTACTTACTTATTATTACCTAGATGTTACCTAGCCGGGTAACGAAACGTTTGCAAGAAAACAGCCAAGCTCAGAGAACCCCAAGGCCTCCACAGTTCAACCCACATTCGCTCCTATTGAAAAAAATGCCAGGTGTCCCAAGGCCTTTAATCAGAGTCCGACCTCAGGTGGAGCAGCTCCTCTGGCCTTTTCCTGCCGTGAATGCAGGAAAGGAATATAAAATACGGTATGGTTGCAGCCTAAATTCCCTTTTGCCTGATCAGCCGCAGGTTTACTTTCTGAGACTAGCTCCAATTGGGTTTGCGGGGCTTTGTTTTTACATTGTGTGAACTGCCATTTGCAGTGCTGCCTGAACTTGGTTAGCCTTGACAAGAGTCACTATCAAATAATCCACTGTAAAACCATGCTTGTTTAAAGCTTAGCTAATCACGGTTTGCTGTGTTCAGACTATATAATAAGCTCTGCTTACTGGAAACAGAAATTATTTCAGATTTCTTGTGGATGTATTCGAGGTGGGAAAAAAGCTTGTTTAAAGAGTTGTGGTCCCCTAATCTCCAACTTAAATTGTTTTTCTCCACCAGAGTTCTGTATTGGAAGATTCTACTCCTGACGTCATAGTTTCTCCTGGACCCCCATTCTATATTCTGAGGTCTAGTTCACATGATGTGCTAGAACATATATGCTTGCTTTTGGCTGAGCTTCTGTGAGTACAGCCATTATGACTTATAGCTTAGTGTGTTACACACACCCAGTACGTTGCAGTTTATTCAACTAAATATGTAGCTTGTTCAGTTTTGCCTTAGGATGATGCAAATCCATCCATAATTGTCTCTGCCATATACTGTAATCTGTTACTAGTAAATCCCACAGCGGCTGTGTTTGCACAGGACTCTTACCCATTGTGGTGTTAACAAACCATGATTTACTAAATCCAATAGCCTGGATTTGCAAAATTTTAGCTTAGCATGCTGTGTGAACTCACACCACTGTCTCTTGTGTTCAGAAGCTATAGTTGGTAAAACGCCCAGACAAGGAACCTGTTGAATGTTCATTTAATAATCTACATTCTCCCCGCTCCCTATAATATCTAGGAATCATGATTTCCGAAGGTGGCTCCTTCGTAAAGGGCATGGTGCTTGGAGGAATCTGCTGCATCTTGGTTACCCTTCTGGGACATATTAAGATGGGTCACAATACAAAATCTCACGAGCATCGACACCTCCAAGCCCCCAAAAAGGAGGACATTCTCAACCTCTCTGAAGACAAGCGCCTGGAGCTGACGCAGAGCATCCGTGTCTACTGCATCATCCTTGTCAAACCGAAGGATCTGGGACACTGGGCGGCTGTGAAAGAAACCTGGAGCAAGCATTGCGACAAGGCCGAATTCTACAGTTCTGAGAACATCAAAGTCTTCGACTCGGTTGTGCTCAACACGGATAACATGTGGACAATGATGCGCAAAGCGTACAAACATGCATATGAGAATTATAGAGACAACTACAACTGGTACTTCCTCGCCCACCCCAGCACCTTTGCCATTATTGAAAACCTAAAGTACTTCTTGCTGAAGCAAGACCCCTCTCAGCCATTTTACACAGGCCAGACCGAGACTTCAGGAGATCTGCAGTATGTGAACGGTGGGGGAGGAATCGTCTTGAGTGTTGAGTCATTGCGGCGACTGTACAGAGTTTTTGAGGATCCAGATAAGTGTCCTGAACGCGGGGGCATGATTTGGAAACTTTCAGAAGATAAACAGTTAGCAATATGCTTAAAATACACTGGGGTGCATGCTGAAAATGCAGAAGATTCTGAAAAAAAAGATGTTTTCAACACCAAGTCAGTGGGCACTCTGATTAAAGAAGCAATGGGTAATCACGCACAGGAGGTGGTGGAAGGTTGCTGTTCAGATATGGCCATCACATTCAGTGGCCTGCAGCCTAATCACATGCATGTAATGATGTACGGTGTCTACAGACTCAGAGCATACGGCCATACTTTCAACGATGCCTTAGCTTTCCTACCTCCTCCAGGCTCGGATAATGACTGAAGAGGGTGGCACAAAACTTGCCCTCAACACACGTCGTCTTAACATGTAGTGTCCCTTGGCAAACAGCATGTATTCAGGGTGGTTCAAAATTTGCATTTATTAGTATTGGTGTTAGCTCCTTTTTTTGCACAATCTGGTTTTGTAATCTTTACCGGGGGGAAAAGGGGAGGGGGCCCTCTTTTTAAAACTGACAAACCCTTTTATACAAATGTGAATGTCATCTCAAAAAAAAAAAAAAAGTTTGAAGATTTCTTTGTTGACAATTGCGTAGCGGGTATGTAAATATTTAAAATCAAAATTAATCTACTGTAAATTAAATCTATTTTTGCAGTTGGGGGGGATTCTGTGTCTTCTGTTTTTTAATTCAGCCTTCCTGAACCTGTTGTGTTTCAGGTATGCTTGGCTAACCACCCCTCATTCTTTTTCAGCATTTGTGGCAAGGGAATAATAGCTACTGTAGTTCAACGTATTTGGACAATACCATCTTGGAGAAGGCTGCTTTAGAGCATTAAACTGAGATAGAAAAGGCAATATATTCTATTAAAATGATGCTGTTCCCTTGATTAGGAAGGTTGGTCTCATTTTGAAAAACCTTGCTGTAAATAGTCATGGTTGTCATCTGGCTGTCAGCTTTTATCTAGAATTGCTTCCTATTTTACAGTTGGCTTCTCTAATCACACTAATCATAACGTGGTTTAGTTTTAGCATAGCATGTTATGTAAACCTAGTCACTGCACTAGGTCAACCATGATTTTTGGCTTAGTGCAAGCACAGGTAGTCCCCAGTTAAAGAACACCCACTTTAAGGATGATGCACAGTTAAGAAGAGAGCCTATTATAGCAAAATTCAAGTTAAATATGCAATGGTTCAAGTTAATTACACAATACTACTCATACAGTATTATACAATAATACTGTTCCGGCTTATGTACAAATTTGACTTGACAGACCTTAGGGATGGACCTCTTTCTTAAACTGGGGGCTACTTGTAAACTCATTCATTGTGACTTATTTAGCAAGCCAAAACAGGCTTTAGGATGATGTGAAAACCTAGCTTAAGTGAATCTTAAAATCTGGAACATGTCTACTAAAGCCTTTTTCTTTTGGATAGTAACTATAAGCTATATTACTTCTGAACTTCCTAATCTTTTCTGTCCGGGCAACAAATATAGGATTGAATAAATTTCAAGCATCACTTCTATGCTGCAGTAAACATTTTTTTTAGAAAGGACCATATTAATATTGAAAAATCTTTTAATCTGATGCAGTTGGGGTAATATGCGATATGGAGTCTTAGGGACGTCATTGTTTTGCTCTCAAATTATTGTGGCAGCTTTCCAATTTCTTTTGACAATTTTCAGACCTGACTTTGCAAGGAAGGTCTGCAATTCATTCTATCTCTAAAAATGGGTTTCAACCTTTCACTCAGGAATGATTTGGCCTCCTGAAATTCTGGCTCCCAATTGTTAAGATGACAGATAGAATCTTTACCTTGATCTAATGTTCTGTTTGCTGCTACTAGCAAGACAACAGTGTCTGAATATGGAAAAATATTCTGATTCCCTTGGCCAACAACTTTATAAATACCCTACTGGAGTTCTCGGCAAAGAACTGGGGATTTTATTATTTTTATGCACAAAGTGCTTTCAACCAATAGAAAGTACAGTTTGGAAGTAACTTAAATGAGATACACATTTCTACAACACTTCAAGAGCAAATTAACCTCACTGTAAAAGTCCCCTATTGTAGGGGAGATGGGCGGGGGAGAAATCCAATAAATAAATAAAATATTTTCCAATGCAGACATTTTACTCAAAAGACAGTGCATTCTTTTTTAAAGAAATTGACATCATCCTAGCAACAACTTTTTAACTTTTTTTTTTTTCCTGTTTGCAGTTCAAATTGAGAAGTTGCTTTAGTGCTAAGTTGCTGTCTGCTTTTATTCAACTTGCTCAGACAGTACTCAAGAGTTTTGGGGGGGGGGTTGCTTTCATTCCTCTAGAAAGACAGGTGAATTCTGGACAACTATCTGGTACTATTCTACTGTATTTGGGAATGCAGCCTCTGAAAGTTAGCTCATGGGGAGAACTTCCAGCTCTACCCTATCAAGGCACATTAGTGTTATCTAGAAGAGTTACTCTCACAAGAGAAAGATACTACGCAGCCTGTTACTATAACTGCATCTCTGAGACAAAGCGGGCGACACTGCAAGTGATGAATTTCTTTTAAGCGGATGGCATACAGCCACCATTTCTGTACACCACTTGCTCATCAACAGAGAAGAAGATAGAACTGTTTATCCTAAATCTCCCCTTCTCAGCTTATAATCACTGAAGCCATCTCACCTTTTGTTTTCTAAAATCAGCTGAAATATATTTATTTTAAAAAGCTAACAGGACTTCAGCATTCACTTGATTTATTTAGCATAGCCACGGAACAAAATAAATTTGTACATTCAGGTACACATTTAAAAACAGAATTACAGAGTAGTCCACGCTGGCAGGAAGCAAGTCACATACTTCCTGCTGTTTTCACTTGTATGTCTTCATGTGCCAAAGGCCATCATTTAAATAGTGAATATTTTCAATGCCAATCCCTTTGTTGACTTTCTCTCTGAGGAAGGGAGAGGTGGAAAAAACAAGGAGAGATCAGTTTTCTGCTCTGGCTAACAGGTTCTTAGAATGTAAATGGGCAGAAGCTATTCCCCAAATTAGGATGTGTTTATAACCAACAGATGAAAGCTAAATTGAGAAGACTTTGTGCCTTCCTCTGGTACATTAATCAGCCTACTGATCTTGGCATTAGAAAAATCCTGGACTTCTTTTCAACCTTTTTAAAAAATATATGCAAGTACTGAAGAGAAGAAGAAAAAAGTTTAATAATGTCCCCCAATCACCCCATGTCACTTGCCCTTTTCAAAGCTCACAAAGGCAGGAACCACAGTCCATCTAGGCCAGGGTTTTACAACCTTAGCGACTTCCAGATTGGTGGACTTCAACTCCCAGAATTCCCCAGCAGGCAGTTAAATCAACATTCCTCACGTAGCATTCTCTAGACATTATTTCAGCTCCCCTTCTCCCTAGCCAGGATGATGGTGATGAAAGTCCATCCTATCTGGGCAAAGCTACCATCTCAGAACCTTTAAATAATGCAAAGTACTAACTATATTTTATTTCCTTGGTGGTAGAGCTGAGAGATCCTTTTGGGGCCAGTGAGTGTATTTGAGAGCATACCCTGAGCACCCCCACAGAACTTTTTTTTTTTAATTAGTACACTGACTTAGTCCTAGGTGAGACCTTCTGGCATTCTTGTAAATAAAGGCAACACTAAAACGGGATGTCCAATTTTTGTTCCCTGGAAGGCTAGTCAAAGGCTAAGTGAGTGAGGCCACAGACCACTCTGAGTGGAGGGTTCAGTTTTACAGGCTAAAATAAAATCTGTCAGTGTGTGCATGGCTTAAAGCACCCACTTTAAAGCTTCCCAAACCACCCAGAGTTGGCCCCATCCATTCCAAAGGGTCACAAAAAGAATAGCGACAGCAGCAGGTTAGGTTTCTTCTTTAAATCAGTATCAATTTTTATACAGCTGTAATACAATAGTTAGTTTATATGTAATACTACAAACTAAGAGCCAGTGTTTTTGAAGAAAGTCTAATTGCAACATTTTTAAGTGTAATAAATATATTTTTAAAAAATTTAAGAGGATGGTCACAGCCACCTGTAGCCTCCAGGGCACCCTTGCTACATCCTTACACTAAAGGCTGGTGTTATGCAGTGCCAAATCTACAAACTTGACCAGAAACTGAGGGGGACGATGGTGAGGCAGTCTTTCCCTATCAGCTGTGCCCTCAAATCTAATACCGCGAATGCTGCTTTTTCTTTTAGGTTACTTGTTTGCCTTTGGTTTGCTAGTGAAAGAGGAGCCACAGATTTCTCACCACAGCCTCCTGTGGCTAATTCCTTATCTAGAAAGCCACACAGTGCAGCAGTGAAAGGATCAACAGGCTTCAAGTCTATCCATCTCTCAGGTTCATTGGACGGCTCTGGGCCACCAAGTTCAGAAAAGTATTGGGAGGATAAAATGAAGATGAGGGAGAGAAAACAGCTGCTTTCTTATGCTCTTAAGAAGGGAGTCGGAATAAAAATACATTAAGTAGGACAAATCGTTATAGCAATAACGTTTCTCTGGACTCCAGGCCAACCTTGACAGATAGACCCTTACTTGTTACCTATTCAAACTGTCTGGAGAACATGCCATCTGCAAAAACTGGCAGATTCAGTTTAGAAGAAGTCTGAAGAGTTTAGTTCTTTGCAGTGTTAACTCCTCATTGGATATGGGAGAACAATGTTAAAGAGGAATGAGATTTTCCTTTTAAAAGTAAGACTCACATATCATCTGCTGATATCTTCATGACTCCAACGCATAGTGCATGTTGCTTTCCTTCTGCCATTATTGCCTGTAACAGTCTGCTAAGGAAAATATCTTGTATGTAGTAATTTAAAATCATTACATCAGCAGGTAAACTACTAACAGGAAGAAACAGTCATCAAAATTAAATCTCTAGCAGGCTAAAGCAAATCACACTTGATTCACTGACTCCCATTCACATATTACATTAAGCAAAAAAAGTCCAAATAAGCTATATTAGTGCTTATCACAATATGAGACTGCAGTGTCTCTCACGCATGGCATTTTTTTCACTGGTCTTTGGGATAGGTTACCAGTGAGAGCTATATCCAGTCCCCCTCCTAACTGCTTACTTTTGGCACTACGGTCTTAGTCCACTGGGCCCTTTTCAATTGTCAGCTAATCAGCAATTGCCTATCCTGAAAAAGCTATCACCAAACTGAACTACAAACACTAAATATTCAGGGAAACTAAGTCACTGTTAGAAGACAAGGCAGACCGCTACAAAAAAAGTCATAGACACTCATGGGCATTATGCCTACGTTATGATAAACTAGTTCACATTCATCCCTAATTCTTACAATGACATTAGAGAGGTATCTAGCAGCCGCAAAATAAGAATTTCCAAATGCTGCCTTGAAATCAAAGCACTTAAGAAAACATTATTTTAAATATAACCGTAAGTTTCAGCAAATAGTTAAGAAGGCTCTCTGTGATAGTTTCGATTCCTTATTTCCAAGGCTGGTAATCCATCAAATTAATGATCCAAGCTGCTTTAAGTTCTATCACGTTCTGAAAACAGCCATTGTGACCAATAGACGGTGCCTATCCAAGGATACCACAATCGTATCAGCAGCAGCAGGATAAAGTTTAGCTCCTGGAGACGTCAGGCCAGGACACATTATATTTGCTCCACTAAGTACAAATTTAATGGCTCCTTTATCAACTTGTTGATGTGGTAGAATGAATGGATCTACAGAGTGGAAAAAAGTTAATAGAGTAGATACAGCAGCAACTGGGTTTAATAGAGTATCAGAACATCTAAAACATTGTTCATTTAGCTTACACCAGCAGGCAACTCCTTTCCAGATACATGAAGTGGGAAAGAAAAACTAGATCCCTAACAACTTCTCTAATCTTTCTCGTAGGCCTTCAAAACACAACATTCCAAAACTTCCTTCTGAATGGTGTTCTGATTAGGGAGATATTTAATGCACTTAAAAAATATCAGTCCATCTTGAAGAAATCTACATCCAGCTATGCCGCTTTTCAATTTGATTTTTTTTTCCTTCAAAAGGAGCTTCCTGGATTAACAAAATAAAATTGTAAACCCAGTTGCCAAAAAGCAGGCCCTGCCCCCCACAATCCATCAGCCAAAATGGAACAGCCCATTTTGAAGCATAGGTGAATAATTCCAGGAAAAAAATTCCTAGTAGAATGCTAACACAGAGAAATTCATGCTGAAAAGTCACCCTCTTAAGCCTTTCAGACAGAAGAATATAAAGAATGGTCTCTCCTGGTGACTTGGAACAGTCAGTATGGAATTAAGACATGTTCAGAATACCCTGGCCTTAAACTGTATGGGGCTTTGAAGATTAAGTATTATATTCTTTTTGCCCAGTTTAAAATTCCTTCCATTTTGCTCCAATGGTCTTGCTGATTTTGAATTTCTCTGTGCTTATTTAATGTATAAACATACTAAAGTCATACTGAAAGATAGGCAATTTGTCAGTCCTGTGTATATGGAAAACAAGGAATGAGCTGCTTACAACGGAATAAAAGAGTTAAAGAACAGCAAATGGGAACAGACCAGCGGCACAAAAACAAAAACCTCTGGATGAATCTTGCTTTTCTAGACCAGAACATTTTTACATATATATTTACATACCCCTGCATGTGAGAGAGAGAAAAAAGCTAGAAAGATTGAAGTTAATAAAATACAGATGGGAGGGAAACAAAAGACAAAATGTGTAAATTCAGAATGGGATGAACAGAAAATAAAGAAGAAAAGATCATAACCAGAACAGCATAATGCCTTTTGTCTCTTAAGACCAAAAAAATCAGACAATTCAGGTTGATATAGGAAAAATGTCAGATTGCGCAGTGGAAAGAGGCGCACTGCATGGAGAGAGCAAAAAAATACTGCAGAGAATGTACATACATATTACACTCTTTCTATAGTATATTGGCTGCCCAGTTCTGTTCTTCTACTAAACACTTGTGAATTTCTTTTCAATATAACAAATTAAACATGTAAGTTTTATTAGTCTCAGATTTGTCCATCTTTTGATTTCTGTCCAATCCACAACCATTTTTCCCCCAAAATACTTACATTTATGTAGTAACCTCAGTGTGGGATAAAAGGGCCCTTCCCTTTGTCTGAAGAACAGCAGTTCACCATTTACCGTGAGAATTTCTATATGTTCATGACTGAAATATACCAAATAAAAACTTGTGATGTTTTTTAATAAGAAGTGTTTCTAATACCATTTAGAATATTCATGAAAGAGAAAAATTTATATCTTTCAAATTGTGCATCTAATCATCTGGATAAGAGACAAAACAGCTCTCCAGGATTAGTGTTCCCATTAAATATGAATATCCTGGTAGCCTCCAGAAGTTTAAATATCTTGGAAATATTTAGGCGTTTGACTGAAAACAGTTTGACTAGCACAATGGCAGTTTATTTAGTTTAGGAACTCACACCCAAATATTAACAATACAAAAAAACAATGTGAAGAACCAGGAGGAAAGAATGAACTTACCATCGTACTATCTTAACAGGGTCTTTCTTTGGCATAATTTGATTTAGCCATGGTTCAATACCCGGAAACTGATCTATCAGTTGATTCTTAATGCCTTTAATAACAGATGTTTTCAACTGGATGCAGTTTGATACATTCTCTTTTTCATCAAATCTGACAAACGAATAATATAATGTTAGAAACAGCCTTTGGTCCACAATTCCTTACTTCCTCATCCATTTATAATGTGTTTATGCATATATTTCTTGGCCAACAAAACTGCAGTGACTAGTCCAGGCCAGGAGGCAACACTGACTCGAAAGCACACAAAAAAAACCCATCTATTTTTCTCACACTATTCTTTGGATATATCCGTTCAGGACTCCAGGGGTACATCGCAAAGACAAATATATTAAAATGAGGTATTCTGGATTTCCCCAAGATTTGTACACCTGCAGTCCCCAACGTCCCCAAACTTACGGCCGTGTGAACCCAACATATCTGGGGAAGCAAACTGGAGGGGGGTGGCCTATGCTATTTTGAACTCCTTAGAAGGGTCGAAAACGGGCAGCAGTGCTATCAAGGGAAGTGATAAAGAGTTTGTTTCCTGTATGGATGTGGCTCCCCCCCCCACCCCGCTTTCAACCAACTTCCAGGAACCTGCATCGCCCAGGGAGTTGGGTGGCATATAAACTTAATATATCATTATCATTCGAAGCCAGTGAGTTGTATTATTATTACTGCTATTATTATTGCTATTATTATTGCTATTTAACGAAGCCAGTGAGGCGCCCTCCACGCGTCTGGGCCTACCCCTCCCCTCGCAGCCGGGCGGGCCGCGATGATGGGAGCTGTAGTCCCCGCCGTCTGGGCGGCCCT